AGCACTAGGATAAAAAAATCTTTTTCTTTTTAATAATAGACATATATATCATCTCCCAGAATGTAAAAGAACAAAAATCGGATTTGCACCCCTCCACATGGTTTAGTGTTTGCAAATAGACTCTACCAGTTTACAGAGACTCTACGTGGGGAAGGATAATAGCCTGTGCTGCAACCACAACTCACTTTAGCACTTTTCATTCAAGAACAATTTTATAAGCCTGCACTGCTAGTGTTGAAACGCCTACATCACCAATGATTTTTAACTAATAAAGAGAAAATACAATCCAAAATGTAACTCCACTGTGGCTGGCCTGACAGACAGTTGCTTTAAACACTATCAGTTGTAGGTTAAGGCTACTATAGGCTTTTTTAACACTTCATTCTTGAGGCCTTGAGGTTCTCAAAATCACCAAAAATGGGATGTCTGGATTCCATAACTGTTTTGTATTTAAAATGTACGTTGAACATTTATTTATCCTTATTAAATGTTTTAATCCAGAGTTTGCATATAGCAAATTGCCCATCTAAAGGCTTCTGCACACTGCATACTGGTCATCTGATATCATGTCCCAGTAGAAAGCCCAGTATCAGTATCTCTGTGTAATTTTATATTCAGTGCTCAGACACTGTGCATGTTCTTGTCAGGACTGGCGGCTTGTCTGACCACTGAGCAGAGTCCGGCAGACACGATATCATGATGTAATAGCACGCTGTGGTTCATTATCCTCTGTGCTCTGTGTAAAGCTAATGGATAAGAGGGCCGGTTCCTCTACAGATTTCTGTCTTTCATGCTCGTAGTTCAGCCAGTCCTGCAGATGTGCTTTACTAGACCCTACAAGTTTCACTAAAGCAACCACAGTAGCCCATTTCTTTGGATAAATAATTTAATGCTGTTACACCATCAATATATATGTGCACTCTCACTCACAAAGGAGAAATAAAAACGGGCAAAGCCCATCCGCTCCCCTTTCCCAAACGGCAAAATAAAAACACCAACAGTCCATTAAATATTGCTTATACAACCTAAAACTCCCTTGGCTGACTGAAGCTGACGCCTGAGAGTGGGAACCCTTTTACAGTTAAATTAAATTCCTCAACACACGCACACTGCACTCGCACCCGCACTCGCGCACACTTTAAGTAAGAGCTATATATGGGGTTCCCAAATTCATATCATGCACCCCCAAATTTGAAAAGGTTACTATATCTTGCTGTGAGAAATACTTCAACAGTCCAAATGTGAATATAGCAGTTGTCAAAATACACCTTGCTTGAAAAGTTATATAAATGTATGAATTAATTCAAGAATTAACGTCAGATGAGTTTGGAAAGCAAGTGGCCGGTCATGTTCACTGCGCTCCAAATCCATAAGACAACGAACAGTCCTTGTGCAGAACCTTAAACAGGACGTTAAACATGACGACTTTGGGAAACGCACTGAGCAAAATGGTTCAATCGTAGTATATTTTAACAACAGTGCTTAGAGTTTGGACAGTTTAAAAAAAAACACGTGCATCACGTTCTTCCACCTCCACCATCTGCTAGTGATGCTGCCTCTCCTCGATCCTTATGTGTGCAACTGCATGAACGACATGTATACATTTATTTGCTGTAGAAAAGCTTTTTTTCTTCAGTGCGGTGCCCGATTCATCTTTAAAGGGACCTGTAGCAAGGCAATGGATATGTCAGCGTGCTTGATACGACAGCAAACTTGAGCTGCAGTAGTAGGCCATTATCAAGAGATGGTGTCAAATGCAATGACACAGTTGCCAATTTAGTAGGTCCATCTACCTGAACTACACAAATACATAAATCAATGAATAGTGAAAAGAAGTAAACATAACCTCTGCAGCAAACTATAAAAAAAACAACTCTAAACTCGTAGACAGCTGTGAGTCTTTCTGCTTGTTTTAGGGATTTTCACCCACTCTTGCTCGCAGAATGTTTCAAGTTTTGCGAGATTCTTGGGTTGTCCTGCATTACAGATATAAAGTAACTGTGCATTAACACTTGCAGAAAATGCTGCAGAAGATATCTTAACTTCTTTTCATGTCAAGCAGCAAAATATGTCATTTGGCCAGGGGTGTTCAAACTTTTGCATACAACTGGTCCAATACTCGTTGATCAAACACATTGTGGAAAAAAAAAGAAAGAAAGAAAAAGTGAAAAGTAAACATCCTCTGCAGCAAACTATTTACATAAGTATTATTTTCTGCCAATTTGCAGGCAGCTGGAAGTCTTTCTGTTCTTGTTTTAGGGATTTTCATCCACTCTTTTCTTGGGTCGTCAGGGGAATGCGACGGTTTGCATTCAGCTTGCGTTTCTCAAAGTAGCTCATGGTGGACTTCGATGTATGTTTTGGATCACTGCCCTATTGTGTATTTTCAGCCTCAGTATCTTGACTTACTGTGCAATGTTTCCTGTGCCACTGTCTACCACATAACCCTAAAGCATAACACCTGTCCCTCATAGCCCTATGCTTGACAGTTGGCAAGGTGCTCTTTTCATCAAATGCTGCTCCTTTTTTCTCCAAACACAACCTCATTTCTTGACATTTTAGACAGTGGAAACTGCAAGCTGGAAGCGCTTTAAAAAATTTTTACAGCCCTCTCCTGCCTTGTAGCCTGATTTCCAGGTCCTCAGTCAGCTGCTTAGAGGAGCACATGGTTATTGAGTGTTAATAGAAGGTTTGAAGTGTCTAATGAGTTGATTAAGTACTGAGACTTTACAACTGGAAGGAAGTCCAAACTTCTAAACATGCCACAATTACTAGTTTGTATAGCATATATAGAGAAGTTACTCAAATTTGCAGTTTGCTGCAGAGATGTTTACTTCTGACTACTTTAAAAATCATCAAAGTGTGTAATTCGGTCAGGGGAGTCCAAATTTTTGCATACAACTGATCCTATTCTCATTGGCCATTTTCTCAAAAGCACATACCATGTAGGTGCACTGTGTACGTTTACAATTACAGATTGCACAATTTTATAATTTACTTTTATAATTTTAATTTACAATTTTAATACTTACTTGTCAGACCACCTTTACCCTGGTCATCAATAGAAAGGACTGCCCTGGGACCACTACAGGCCAGACATTATTTGGGTGGTGGACCATTCTCAGCACAGCAGTGACACTGACATATTAGTGGCATGTTAGTGTGCTTGGTGCACTGGTACAATCAAGTACAGCAGCACTGGTGGGATGTTTAAGTGCTATGTACATTTATTGGCCACTTTATTGGATATTTTTATTTTTCTTCCACCCATAAATAGTAATAACATCTCCAAAAATCATATTCTTCTTAAACTGCTCCACAATAACCTCTCCCAGCATTCCTGTCTCCACTTCCCAGTGGATCACCAGCCTCCTCACAGTTACAGAGCAGCAGGTGAGGCTGGGAAAGTTCTTATCAAGCACACAATTAATCAGTACTGATGCCTGACAAGGATGTCAGGTCTCCCCCATTGCTCTTTCTTATAACTACACCTCCACAAACTCCTCTGTCAAAATCTTGACGTTCGCAGATGACACTGCAGTCACTGGTCCCATCTGAGATGGTGAGGAATCTGTTTACAGACTAGTGGTTGGACAGCTGGTCCTCTGGAGAAGTCACGACAACTTGGAGCTGAACTTGCTCAAAACAGTGGAGGTGAAAGTGGACTTCAGGAGAAGCCCCCCACCCCTACCAGCCCTCACCATCCTTGACAAGACTGTGATGGCTGTGGAGTCCATTTAGTTCCTGGGAACATCACCAGGCACCCAAAGTGGGACATCAACAACTAGTCCCTGGCAAAGCCAGCCCAGGAGAGGATATACTTCCTGCATCAGCTGGAGACATTCAACCTGTCCCAAAAATAACTGAAGACAAATTCTCTGTATGTGCAAACATACTTGACCAATAAGGCCTGATTCTGATAAAGTGGTCACCGATGGTCCTATGGTGGTCCTTGGTGATAAACGTGGCAACGAATAAGTTATGGTCAGTAATTACAAACGTACAAAGTGCAGCTGTATGTCTATACGGTAGGCCAGTGAGCACAGATACAAAGTGGCACCTACTGAACTGGCAACTATGCATGTATGAAGCCTTAAATAGCATCTGAAAACAGTTCATACATCTAAGCTGTGGTATAGGCACTCCTAACAAATAAGGTTTGACAGGTTGAGAATCAATTAGGGAAACTCATAGCAGAACAACAGCGGTTCTAATGCAACACCAGAACAGACACGGTGGATGTCATTCTCAATAGAAAAGCACCACCTGCCCAGAGGGCAAAGAACAGAAAGTGGTGCCTGGACAGAGCCTGACATTTCGACTGGACAAACAGGTGTGAAGGGTCAGGCAACAGTGGGGTGCATCACGACAAAAATTATACACTGGACAGGGTTATCCTACAGTTGGAAGGAGAAGGTGAATACTGTATAGCTCCAGCAATCGCTCTGGATTATACGACGTGTGACTTATAAAAGTGCTGCTGCAGTCGAAAAGTAATGCAATGATATTATTATTATTATTATATTATTATTATTATTATATGTAAAGCAGTGAAACCTGAACTTGCACCTGTGGCATCCAATGCAGATTTGATTAAAGGAATATCTCTGCATTTTTTGATCTATACTATATTCGCCGCATCCGCAGCATATGTTCGCTTTTTCCTGAAAACAAAAAAAAACAAAAAACTCAATGAACTGAAACACACAAGTCATTCAGCAACTGATGAATTTCATCAGTAAATGTCTGTGTAGCATGTATTTTTTCACTTTCAATTCATTAAAAGTTAAATTAAGCTGTAAGTCTGTCTAATGGATTCTGGGATTAGTTTTCTGAAGAGAACAATCTGTGGTAAAATACATGTTATGTTAGATATCTTCTACAGAATTTTATATATCAATGATATATATATATATATATATACATATAAAATCAATGATATATATTTTCTGTGAATTTTAGTGCACAATTTGTACTCCTCTACCGAGTTTCACATACTGAAAAAAAAAACATGAAATATGAAAACCTTTGCACAGGCAATATGTTAAATACAGCAAATAAACAGTAATTGTGCATTGAACTTTGCAGAAGGTTCTCTGTAGAAGATTATTTTCACTTAGAAGCTTAATAAAACAATCTAATTTTGACTGACATTTGTGAAAGGAAGCACAGTGTGCAGGGTAAAGGGGGGAAGGGGTGGGTTTTGGAAACTGAGAGACAAGGGGGCACTTACAATTTGTATATTCATAAATTCTTAATTAGTGGGGAGGCTCAGGGATGTTTCTATGCCATTTTTAGCTGTTTCCCTGGCATAACAATACTGCCTTCACATATTTAACAACTATTATCCAAAATAGATTGTAGTTAAATCACGCGTCAGGCTTCAGTTCTCGCGGACCAAAACACCACAGACTTAAGCTCACTGCCTCACTAAACACACCTGATTCAGCCCATCAGCTCATTAGCAAGGCCTTCATGAACTGAATACAGGTCGTCAGATGAGGGTGAACGCTAATCTCCGTGGCACTTTGGCCTGGAAGGTCCCCAGTTTGACATGTCTGATTTGAATTATGACGTACTTTAAAGTACAATCGATGTAGTCATGCATTAAAGCAACTACCCAGTGGTTTCTATTATAACTGTGTTTCACATCAATGGGTTTTCTGTTTGTAAGTACAGGTAAATGCACCTCAATTACTGTTTGTGATTATCTACAGTATGATACAGATATAGATTAGGTCAAAAACATTAGAGTATTCCTTTAAATCTGATTAAGACCTCTGCACTGCATGTTGCTTTATAAAGCATTAATAAAGCTGTAATGAAGTGTTAATAACATGATGTGAGTAAGTGTCACACACAACAGCTTAACGTAGCTGCACTTCAAAGCACAGAGTTTGTTTTTTCTTTTTTTTTTCCAATATCCATCCACAATTTTCATGTTATTCCTAGCCTTCTTTGTAGGAACTACTAGATATTGCCACTTCAAATATGGCTGTCAGTTTTTGAATATAAAAAATGTTATCAAGTACAGATAGTGAGTGTTAAAAGTGACAGGTTTCAAGATGAGTTTCAAAAAGCTTTGGGCACCTGCGTTCCTGATTAATATCTATGGCCTATGGGTGCAGGTGTAGTGCCAATGGTGACCAGTGTCCAGGGAGACAGAACAGAGGAAAGGAGGAAAAAAGATGAACAGGTCCATCTGACTGGGCTATGAGAATTGATCTTGGCGTCTGTCTCTGGCTGGCCCCTCTTCCCTCTTCATGATGGAGGAGCAGACCTCCGCCACCTGGTGCTAACTGAAGCACCAAGCTCCATGCCGTGTAGTGACTCAGCCATCAACCTACAAACGCTAGGAAGAATCTGCACGGCCTGTCTTGAAGTCACAGTCCAGTGTTGAAGAAGGACATGCTGATGGACCATGTGCAAAAGAGGTGCTTTTACTTTTACATGAGGATTTGACTGCATGTGGTCCCATCAGGTGCTTTTGATGGGTTTGCTGGTTCATAGGGCATGTGCGAAGAGGAAAAAAGAATGTGTCCAGCATGTGTGCACAGGACTCTGCAAAAGTCAGAGACCACCCTTAATTTGTTTTTCATTTCCAGCCAAAATAGCCACTGAGTACAAGTAATTCATTTTCTATTATCAGGAAAAAGGCAGAAAATATATTTAACATAAAATTACACAACCTAATATATTTGTCCACTCTTTACCTTTATTACAGCTTCTGTTCTTTTCAGGAGATTTGCATTCAGTTTTTCAAAGAAATCTGCAGGGATATTTTTCCACACCAAAGTTCAGTCTTTTCACCATCCAAGTAATCCAAGACTCTGGCCACCCCAGAGTCCAGTTGAGCTCTAGACTCTGGGGTGGCCAGTTTGTTGTTCTGAGCAGCTTCTCTGCTCTTTGTCAGTAAGGACTTCTTTGCAGCTACTCATCCATTTAGACACATAGTGCTGAGTTGTCTTCTCACAGTGGAAGGATGGACAGAAATACCTGTGAATCAAGAGTAGCGCTTGATTTTCTCCTCTCTGTCAAAGATGAAAGCTTTAAGTTCTGCTTATCTGATAGGGACAGTGTTGGTGTCTACCAGGTCTTGCACGGTTGTCAGGAATTCCATTTTCTCTCTACCTTTTATGGGCATTTTGACTGGAAATCAACTAAATGAAGGGTGGTCTCTGACTTGCGCACAGTACCGTATGTGTAGGGATAGGAGTGCACGTGAAGTCTTTGGAGATGTGGGTATGTGTTGACTGTCAGTTCACAAAGGCTGTGTGTGTATGTGGTGTGTGTGTGTGTGTATGAGTGTATTTGCATGTCTGATGAAGGGCATGCTAAGAGCCAGCAGGCTTGCTGTAATCTTCCACTCCAGTGATAGTGGCCTTGCAGAAAAAGCAGTCCTTGTTATTCATCAAATGTTGATTGATGCAGGCTCTGAAATGAGAGACGGGGAGGGCGAGAGAGATACAGAGAGAATTGAGAGAGAGAGAGAGAGAGAGAGAGAGAGAGAACAAGCAGCTTGTCACAGTGATATCCAGTCGTTCAGAGTTTGCTGAGTCATGCAGCAGCTGCCTTTTATGAGGCACACCTTGCCGAGAATGACAAAGTGTACCATAGCTACGGTCATACAAATATAATAAAGTGTCAGCCGAATTGATGAGAGGCCAAAACGATTTAATCTGTTTTGATCACGCCGCTGCCCCAGTCGTTTGATTAGAAATGAGATATTACAGCGGGACGCTCGGTGCACTTCGTGTGCCTCTGGAGAGCACATGGTGTAGCAAAAATGGCGCATCAGTCGGTGTAATAAGACTCTACGATGGGACTTGTTCGTTCTGCAGTGCTAAACTTCAGGCTTTGAGTCACTGAAAGTCCAAACTGAAAAAGTTTTGTCTGCACAGACTTTGGCTTTCAAAAGTTCACGACAAGAGAAGCTGCTAGTTTTTCGTAACAAAATACAAAATGTATGTAACCAAGAGTGACTAAGATACTGAGTGAATACTGAGTGCACAAACTTTTAGAAATGTTTGATTCTATTTGTAAAACTTTGATTATGTATGTAATTTTAAAAGGTGTAGTACAGAGGTACTGAATATTTAGATTTAAATATTTGAAAATTTAAATACTTAATATTTAAATTCAATTTAGAATGTTTTACTGAATGCATTATCTCAAATGCTTGAATACTATATAAAAACAAGTAAAGCTCAAAACATTTTTAATTAAATATCAATGGATTTTTTTGTTTTTTATCACTTTTTTAAATGATTACTAGTGTTAATACATACTGTAACAAATACTGTTATTATTGTGTTATTACAATTATTTTGACTATTGCATACATTCTATTTAATTATTTTTGCTTTTAAAGACAGCTTAATTGAAAGACTACAAGGAAAACAACACTGAAAAATAAATATTCATATCAAGTTGCATCAAAATGCTAATTTGTCCAATCTGGCAACTCTGAGCAGTTGCTGGCTGTTTGAACAGCAGTGAAGGTGCAGGAGAGCAGAGGACACAGTGTTTTTTTAACTTTCATGTTATAAATGAAAACTTTTTGCTGAACTCATCACTAAACAGGGGAGAGATGAAGGTTTAATCTTAGAAAACTGCCTTATACCAAAGCACAAGTTAAACTCCGCACTCAGTCTGTGTTAAAGCTCAGTACAGTCTGAATAAGTTATCATTTATTCTCAGTAATAAATGGTAGCTGGCAATTCAATGCAGTAAGAACCTTATTTGAACCGCATCAGGAGATAAGACTGTCTCAAACTGCAGGAGTGTTACAAGCCATGTCAAACTGCAATCACAATGAGTATGTTGTGCAGGGCTGGCAACTCCATGCTACTGGTGACAAGCTAACTTAGCATTGGTATGGATAAAGAAATATTTGAGTGAGTAGGTTTATAAAAGTGGTAAACATGTTAGATGTTGTAATAGGTTTTCCATTTTCAAATATTTCAATTGCGAAATTTGCCAAAAATTGTCGAATTTTTGTTGCAGCCCTAGGTTAGTAGCATGTTGAACTGTAGCTTACAGTCAAAACTTCAGATTTCAGAAGTACAATTTGGAGGGGATTAGTTTTACACTGGAAGGAGAGGTAATGTAAGTGTTATCTGTGTTTCTCAGTGATTTTAGTCCAGTCTGAATCCATCAAGTCATTTTTTATGGATTCCAGTATGTTTTTCCTACTATAAAAAAACACTGTAGAAATATCGCCAGGTTATATTACTCTTGCCTGATTTACTATGTCAGTAAATATTCCATCATATTATGTTATAATTTTCACAGTTTTTCTTATGTACTGAGGCACTCAAAGAAGCATTTACTTATATTCTCTGTGGCACAAATCAAGCCAATAAACACTGTCCTAACTTAAATATATGACTGTGAATATTAAAACATTAAAACATGCAATATTTCAGGAAAATAGTTTGATTTTAAGTGGCGAAGTTGATTGTTGGCTGTAAATTCTCAAGCTAAAGACACACTACACTCACGTTTTTCTACTCTTTTTTGGAGTAAAGGCAGTGTGTAAGTCGAGTAGCCACTCCTATCTGTATGATTTACCATTAAATTTCTCATCCCATGCAGAAGTGGACATAATAAAGATGTATAACACTATACTTACTACAGTACTACACTACAGAGCATGGTAATGGTCATTACTAGAACACCTAGAGTAAACAATAACAACAATGGCTGCTTTATATTCAGGCTAAAGCACTTTACGACTCAACATGCAAAGCTATAGCAAAAGAGGCCGCATTCAGCCGCTTGGTGTTAATCTCCTAAATGGATGCTGATAAGTCTGGATCAATCAGAAAGAAGGAGAAGCTTATGTGAAAGACTGGACTCGTTGATTTGAGGTTGGCAGCGGGCAGTAACTCACTTGCAGGACTTGTGGGAGCAGGGCTTGAAGATGGCCGATATGGAGTGTGCATAGCAGATGGGACACAGGTCATCTTCACTGGTAGGCTGCAGAGGAGAGGAAAAGAACGAGTCAGCGATACACAAGCATACTGTGGCTATTATAACAAACCGTCTATCTCCAGAATGACACTTTATAGGAGAAGAAAATTTATTCATATTAATGTTAAAAAATTTGGAAATGATTTAATGGAAATTCCACCTATCAACACTTATGCATAATGCAATGGTTGAGTAGTAAACCAAGTCATTCTGAGTGGTTTGAGGTGAAATGCTCATTGCAGAAAAACCTACAGAGTCAGAACAGAGGTGTGGTCAGTTCACAAAGCTGTGACAAGAACCAGATGTCTGCATTTACTACCACTAAACAGGGGTCATGAACTAGCAGACCACTGCATGGATGCAATATATCAGTGGACTGAACAAAGCACTTAAAAAATAGCTAGAACCAGTGCAGCTTCTGTAGCAGTCCTGTGCTGTAGTTTATCAAATCAGATGCATTTATATAAATGACTCAGGTGAAGGCAGCTCAACAGAACCAAGACTTGAGGGCAGATATTTTTTGTAGATTTTTATTTGACTTACTACTTCTGGTCTGAGTAGTAAAGCGACAGCCTGGCTTATTAAAAACAGTGTGTTCAAAACTTAATTTTTTTTTTTTTTCAGCTATTTTGTTTTTTAAACAATAACAAATTGCCATACAATGGAAAAATGCTAATTAGATTATACAAATATGTTCAATATAACACGTAAATATATTTGATGTGTATTATTTTATTTCATCAGTTGCCTGGACTAATGATTAGTTAGGCATTTAAAGGTAACCATTGTTACCATTTACTCATTTTAGTGTGTATATCTGAACGTTTATAAGCAAGAAATTTGAAGTGACTGAAGCAAATTTTAGTTGAAGTGGTTCAGTGTAGTGGGTGAGGCGCAGATGCCCATGCAGCAGACAGGGGTTTGATTCCCCGCCCAGGTAAGCACACCATGCTATACAAATAGAGTCCTTGGGCAAGACTCTTAAAGAACTTATGGAGTCCTTTGTAGAATATTAATCTAGGAGAGGATTATGGCACTGTAAGCTAATAATCGTGAAACGTCAGGTGAGCTGAAGTGAATGATCTTTTCAAAAGAAGCCTAGAATCCATATTTACATCTGACCAGGCAATGGTTCATGTGGCCACTGAGGGTCTAATAAGTCTAGACCTAGGCCAGGGGTCTGCAACATGCGACTCTGGCACTGCATGCGGCTCTTTTACTGCCCTGTTGCGACCCCACAGCAGAATTAGTTTAGGTAAACTAAAATAATCCTCATTTGCAGTAAAACAAAGCTCTGCTGATCATTCAACACAGTTTTAACAATAAACTTGTCTTAAACACTGGAGTTCACGTAGCCTATATCTGCTAATGCATCCTTTAACCCTCCTAAATGTAAATGAGTGCATTCCCTGATGTCTGAGACATGATTTCATGATTTAAGCTTTTGGGTTAAAATTTTTTTCATCCATTCATGATGGCAAGGTACCTGCAAAGCCTAAGGCAACAGTCCTCAAAGAAAATGTATTTTTCTCAGAATTATCACTATTTTACCTATAAAACATAGAAGACGTGTAGGTTGGTTTTGAATAGTAAACAAAACGGCTGCTTGCATTGCAGACACTGCAACCACTGTAAATAAATGGGAGTAGATTTCTCTACATTGAACCACTTCACAACAAACCACTCCTGAATGAGTTTCCTGACATTCCCTTTTGTAATTTTAGATCATCTATTGGTCTGTTTATCATGGAATGCTCAAATGGTGTCAGCAATTTTTATAAACAGGAAAAAGTCTTTAGGTATTGACAATACGTTTTTAATCTGTCTAGCCTAAAAAGATATATTCCACTCAAAAATGCTAATCCTGCTATTAATGTAAGCTAGCAGAGGCCAGTTAGCATTATGCAAATGCAATCATGCTAATTGTTCCCCTCTGGATTTAATTCACTATTAAGCACATTAGCATTTTTGGGTGAAGTGTTGCTCTAAGCTATGTCTTAATGCTCAGAACACACAATGCAGAACATACTCAAACACGCTGTGCCACCACCACCAGTACTGCAGCCTGTGTAGACGACCTTCAGTACGTCTCTTATTTCACTCCAGTAGGCCATGCTAGAATGCTTAAGGGACCCTGACCCTCCGCCATTAAAGAGATAGCCTGAAGTGGTCGTAGCCCTTTCCTTTTAATCAAGGCTCACTAAGCTAGAGGCAGCCCATTAACATCATGACCTCTCCATATCAAACATTATCATTATGTATACATTAACAACTGCATTTGACAGGATGAGGTAATCTTTCCACTTGGCTTTCCATTTAAAGAACAGATTAGCATCTTGAAATGTTCATAAGCTGCATACAAGACAGTGCTGCGAGAGCACGAGCTTACAGAGGCTGGCAAAAAATGAACTGCATTTGTGAGGACTGACGTAAGGCTACCTATATTCATTCTGTAATATGGAAAAAAAAAAGATTTATGATAAACATATAAGCATGCAGGTTGAAAGCATGAAACACTCAACGTACATTTCAATTAAATGTAAAAAACAAGCCCATGCCACCCTTGCAATTCATACCCAAGGGGAAAACTCGCCTAGCAATAATTTAGCTACCGCAGAAGAATGAGCAGCACTCAAAAATGTCACTGGACCGACAGCACCCGCATAAACATGCTCAGGGCCTTAAGCAAACAGACATTTATATGCTTGCGTGTGGAGCATCAAGGACGATTTACAGCTTCTGATTGCTCGTCTGTCAGTCTGGGTACGCGACACTGAGAGGTGGAATATCTGGGGGATGAACAGTAAAATGTTGGATGATGTAGGGCAGAACAGAGGGGTCCAGACAGTTACTGTCACCTCCAGCATGTAAATGTGCTCTCATTTTCTGCGAGAGATTTGATCTAAGGCTTGTATCAGTGTTGGAAGGAGATGCTTACTCTCTTTAGCGGTTGCTGTGGATTTTTTATGGAGTTCTTTGTAGAATATCGAGCTTGGAGAGGATTATGGCACTGTAAGCTGATATTCGTGATACGTCAGGTGAACTGAAGTGAATGATCTTTTCAAATGAAGCCTAGAATCCATGTTTACATTTGAACAGAGAAAAAAGGTTAACAAGACAGCAAAGTGTTGACGTGGTCACTGAGGGTCTAATAGGTCTAGATCTAGGCCTTTTATCATTAATTGTCTTAACAGCCTGCAACCTATCGGTTTCAGTAAACATCACATTTGATTGTTTGTAGTGGTCTGCCATGAGTATTTGGCAGGTGTTTTCAGACATAAATGCTAAACATAATCTGGTTTCAAGTGAACTGTTGCTAATGTTTATAAGCTCAATGTTTTTTTTTAATAAAAGAGTTCTATGTTGTGTGTAGAAATTAATATATGGAAAGTACACTCTTAAAAAGATGGTTCTTCAAGGGTTCTTTAGCAATCAGAGAACCTTTTGCATGGTTAAAGGGTTTTTTGCTTCATGAAAGGGTTTTTCAGATTGATAGAAAATGTGCATGAATGTGCTACAGATGGTCCTTGGAACCTTTTTGACAAGAGTTCTAAATAGCATCCAAAAGGGTTCTTCCATTATTACAAGTTTGACACTGTAACAATAGAGGAACTCTTTTGGGTTCTATATAGAACAATCTACAGTACATTCTCCATCAATCTGAAGAAAGCTAAAAGGTTCTTTGAATGTTCATGGTTCTATATATAACCATTTTCTTTGCTAAAGAACCCTTAAAGAACCATCTTTTTTAGGAATACAAGCTTTAAACACAGTGATGATGTTACAAAAACCAACATACGTCCTTGTGGTCAGCACAAAACTTTTTACAGGAAAAGGAAAAAAAAACATTCTTAACTTTCAATATAAAAAGTTATAAACACATATTACAAAATTCAGAGGTCTTCTTGGACCTAAACACAGCATAAACAGCAGTTGACATTTTCAAATTACGTTAAAAAAAGAACGTTTTGTTCCAACACTAATGAGTTATTCGCCTATTTAGCGCACAGCAGTTTAGCCCCGCCCATTAATGTTAAAGTTATAAGGAGTGTTTCAGCCTTGATTACTTCTTGAATGAGGCGCATATATCAGTCTTAAAGGCTCAGGAACAAAAAACAAAAAAAATAACAAAAAGTCTGTTGAGTTCTAAGAGATAAAATAAGGCAGGAAAATGGTGATGAAAAATGAATGATGAATTTCTGAGACATAAATCAACACAAAGCTTATAAATGGACTTGATACCACAACTACTTTTTAAAGAAATATATTTCACTCTTAGTGATTACCGCTGCTAAGATAACGCAGCCACTGCTGCTGGTGCACAAAGGGGATTTTCAATGTTATATTAGCACCAACCTAACAGTTGTGAGCATTTAGACTTTATAGCTGCTGCAACATTTAACATTCTTTATTTTGGATGTTGCTGTTTGAATGTTGAAAGGTTCAGTATAGATTTTAAATAAAAGCCTGTCTCTGAGGCCAGTCTAGTTTAACTAGTGAGCTTATGCTAGTGAGGATGAAGTCTTTTCCTCAGAAGGGACTTAACATCAACAAAATGCAGTCAGACAAACTAGTCAATAAGTAGAAAATTTGCTGTTAGCGATATGTGGCATCACAGTGCTGCTTTACACTGTCCTCTCTGTCAGAGACGTCCATGAGTAAATGGCAGCCCTGACAGTGAAAATGTGAAGGCTGGATGAGTGGAAGTGTTTGAGTACAGCATGATGTTCACATCAAGCAGCAAGTAAAAGCCCTTTTTTCAAAATGTTATCTAAATAAGAATAAATACATCGCTTTTTGACCACAAGCATGACGAGAATACGGAACAAACAAAATGCCTACACATACTTGAAGTCCAGGCTACACTGGAACTTCACACCTTGGAAGGGTTAAGCCTTAGGAGCAGTAACATAAATGACCATTCGACTGGTGCTGCATGCAGGTTCCAAAAACAGAGAGAAGCATTTCCATCCATCCTTTAGCCTCTGGTCCCTGAAAAAGCCTTA